CAATAGACACGATCTAGAATTATTGACCAAGTTAAGATCTCTGGGTTGAAGACCCGATCAGAGTCAGTGCTATGATCTGACTGTTCAAATGCTCAGTGGTCTGACGTCAGGTCGGTCAGGAGGTAGCAAGAGGCGCCAATTCTGGGACCATCAACTGGTCTCTAAAGTAGTGGTTTCCCACTTGCGTAACAGAACACAGTAATCAACCTACTATAATACAATAACAATATAATACAGTATAATATAATATAATACTATAATAATGCCTAACGAATAACATCTTATTGAATACAACTTGCTTGAGAGTGCCTTCGATGATTTATACCCTACCCGATAATAATATATAGTCGAACCTGCTTTATCTAGCTAGTAATAAAGTGGTTCGCGATATATTACTACAGAACTTATTTTAACCAGGCCTTTTATGTTTGTATATAATGGAGTGTGAAGGAGGGGCGCGTAACACCTCCCCCCTCGCGACTGACTGTCGCCATTGTCTTGTACTCTCGGTGGTCGGTAGCAACGGTTGTAGTAGCAGAGGTTGTAACATAGACAGCATTCCTACATCAGCTCCAGTTTTCTCCACAACATAGATGGTCATAAAAGTACCGACTCATACTGTTAAAAATAAGAGTATATTAATAAAGATTCAAGGCCTAGAGAGGGTATCGGCAATGAGATTATGTTTTCCTTTTACATGGGAAATAGTAATAGAGAAGGGTTGAATTCTCAGAGCCCAACGAAGTATTCTGGCATTCTTCGATTTCATAGTATTTATAAAGGTCAATGGATTGTGATCGGAGTACACTGATATCTGATGGGGAGATCCTAAATATACATCAAAATTCTCTAGGGATACAACAAGAGCTATGGCTTCTTTTTCTATAGTTGAGTACTGAATTTGGCATTTCTTTAACTTAGAAGAAAAATAAGAAACAATAAATAACAAAAAAAGGCACAATACCGTGACTGGTCCAAGTCGGACCGAAACGTCGTCGAAAGCTTCTCTCTTTTATGTGCGGGTTATTTGTGTAAAATAAGAAACAGGTTGCAACAGGTCAGAATTCGGAGCCTTCTGTAACAATGCGGCTCCCAAATCATACGCACTGGCATCTATTTGTAAGTTGAATGGTTTATTAAAATCAGGACTTAGCAATACTGGGGAAGAGGATAGTAATCTTTTTAAATGATTAAAAACAATTTCACAGTCCTGGGTCCATGAAAACTGTTTTTGGACTTGTTAATTCAGTTAGGGGAAAAATTACCTGTGCAAAATTCGGACAGAACTGACGGTAGTAACCGGCAACTCCTATAAATCTCGATATGCTTTTCCTATCCTTAGGGATAGGAAATTCTAAGAGGGCCTTTACTTTGGCGTTCAAAGGAGCAACTTCACCTTGTCCAGTCCGAAACCCCAAGTATTTAATTTTCGTCTGGCCAAACTCACACTTGGACAAATTCACTGTAAAATTATGTTTACTTAAGGCATCAAACAAGGCTCTAAGTTGTCTAAGGTGTTGAGGCCAACTGTTGCTGTATACTACTAAGTCATCTAAGTAAGCTTCTACCCTGTCCAATCCTCCCATAAGTATGTTCATAATACGCTGGAACATAGCGGCTGCGTTACAGAAGCCGAAGGGCATAACTCAATACTTGTACAGGCCACCAGGTATCATAAAGGCTGATATCTCTTGAGCTCTGGGTGACAATGGGACTTGGTAACACCTTCTTAACAAGTCCAATTTACTGATATACTTAGCTCTGGAGACCTTATCTATTAAGTCATCAATTCTGGGTATTGGGAACCCATCAGGCACTGTTACAGAATTGACTTTTCTAAAATCCGTGCACATACGGGTGGTCCCATCTGGTTTGGGGACTAGAATGCACGGGGATGCCCAAGGACTGTTACTTGGTTTTATCAACCCGTGCGAGAGTAAGAAGTTCACCTCTGCCTCTAGCTCACCTTGTTTCTTGGGACTCACTCTTTAGGGAGATTGCTTGATTGGAGTAGGTTCCCTGAGAGAAAAACCATCTACACACCCAACACCTTTTTTGGGGACGTCGTTGAAAAGTTTGGGGGTTTTCCTTTTAATCAGGGATTTATTTCGTGTCCTTTGTCTACACCCAGTTTTACAGTAAAAAATTTAAATTCTTTAAGGCTGCGAATTGTTCAGAAAAACCCGGGGTTTCCTATCATTTCACCCAAATTTTGCGGAGCCTTTTTCGGGTTCAGAGACATTATAGTAAAAAATTGGAGAAACGTTTCCTGAATAGATTTAAATTAATTTGGTTTTTCCCTTTGGGGGTTCCCTTCTCGGCATCCTTACCAAGTAGTTCAGTCACTAAGGCGTGCTGTGAAGCAGCTGCCCACGAGCCGCTATATACAAACATTCCAAAATAAAAAACCCTTAAAAATTTGGACTTTGAAAACGCTTTCAACTAGTCAAAAGGGGATGGTGCTCCCCAAACGTTTATAGAAATTTCTCTTCCCCTCTATTCCTTCATAATGTGTTATTTTGTGACTTCCAAACTATTTTTTGGGGGCCCATAAAATTTGACTCGTGTGGGGGGGTTGCAACAGGGGGACCCTCTTGCCCCCCCTTTTTTTTTCTTTTTGGGTTATAAAGGAAAGTCACAGAAGCACTCTCCTGAGCTAAATACTGTTCTTGGATGTGGACCCTTTGGCCCAAAGGAATATTCCTAGAGGAATCAGGAAAATTAAAAAAGACGGGAGAAAGCCTGGGCCTTTCTTTAAATCCCCCCAAATGTGAAACAGATTTTGCCAATGACGATGATCCAAAAATTATGCGGTTTACCCGGACATGAGCTGTTGATCCAGCCAATACCTCTCCTTTTGGGGCTCCTCTTGGGTCCAATGAATCGATTTGATCCCAGAAAAAAAAAACTCAGCCTCCGGGGGGGGGGGGGGGCGATGGAAGGCAGGATGAAAGACATTGATACACATGATGCCTTCTACCTACTCACCAGGTGCCTGTCAATCTTAAAACTTACCTGCTTTCTGAAATGCTCCCCATCCTTCAGCAGTCCGAAACTCAAGGAATATGACTCTCTCCTTAAGACCATGCTAGAGAGTGTATTGAATCTTTCCCTGGAAGATGGACAGTGGCTGCAAGCCTCGCTTCCGGTCAGGCTTTGGGGGCTGGGAATACACAGATCCTCCCAGATTGCTCTGCTAGCTTTCCTATCCTCTTCCACAGCATCAAACGAGTTAAAAAGACAAATTCTTCCTGATAACCTCAGTGGCTCAGCAGGAATACAGAACCCTGACTATGCCAATGCCATCGCTGAATGGGAGACTCTTGCTGCTCGAGCACAAAACCCTAGTGCAGCACTGGCTCACAAACAGTCAAGCTGGGATGGCCCGATCACTGAAAAGGTGCTTGCCAACATGCTCAGGGCTGTAACATCAGACAGGGAGACTGCCTGTCTCCAGGCTGCGAGCGCACATCACACGGGGGACTTCCTCCAAACAGTTCCCATATTGGCAATGGGAACGCGCCTCGATCCTAAGACCCTCCGTATTGAAGTGGCTCTGTGCCTTGCTACCCCAATTCACAAAGAATATATGTGTATTTGCGGCGAAGTGCAAGCCGACCAATATGGTCTACATGGTCTTAACTGTTCCAAAACCATGGGCTGGAATGCAAGACACAATGAGGTCAACGACATCATAAAGAGAACCCTTGCTACAGCTGGTTGCTCAGCCGAGAGGGAGCCCCGATCACTAGCAGCCAACAATACCCACATCCCACCAAACTGCCCAAACGGGATCACCATCTATCCTTAGAAGAATTGCAAGCTCTTAGCATGGGAATATACCTGTGTGTCCACACTGGCTGACACCTATATCCGTCACAGTGTCAGGCGACAGGGAGGAGCTGCTGACCACAAGATCAGCAAGTACAGGGACATAAACCAACAGTATCAATTTGTCACAGTGGGATCAGAGACCTTGGGATCATGGGGAAAAATGCAACACGTTTCCTTAAAGAATTGGGTTCCAGACTCATCAACACCACCAGGGACCTAAGAGCAGCCACTTTCATGCTCCAACGTCTCAGCGTGGCCATCCAGAGGGGAAATGTTTGCTGCATACTTGGCTCGCGTCCGGCTTCGGAGGAGCTGGAGGAAATCCATAATCTTTAACATATTGTACCAGTGTATATTCATATTTGTGCTTTCTGTAAATGTATTCTGTCTATTAATAAATTTTCCAATAGAATATAAAATATAGGGGGTGGTAGGAGAAGAAAATATTCAAACAGCTCCGGGGGAGAACCTTGAGTTCTCCGTGAGGTACGTTTATAGTCTTCTCTGAGGATGAGGGTCCCAGTCCAGCTATAGAGGTGGTACGTGTGTATATATGTATATATATATATATATATATATATATATATATATATCGTGCAGATTAGGATGCATCTTATTATAGCCAGCTGGCCGAATGGTTAACACACTGGACTACGAGTTTTAGGTCTCACTTGTCTTGAGTTTAACCCCCTCCGTTCCCTGATTTATCACAATAGCAGTCACTATTAGTACACTCATGTTTCATAACCCCGTCTCTCATTTCCATCAGTTTAGTGACGAAATGGTTGCAAGAGAATAATTTATTTATGATAATGCAACAGTGTAATGTTAGTTAATATTTTATATATACGAGATTTGGCTGCACCTTCAAGGTAAATAAAAAGTTAAGGCCATCGTTCTTTTATCTTAAACATAGTATCTTGCAGTTTATTTTAATATGTTGGTTTATTAATGCGTAGAAACGAAACACAGATAATATTTTACTTATTACTTATTGGAAATTTTACTAATTATTATATGAAGATAATATAATGAAGCGAGAAGATTTATCTACTTCGAGTTATAGTATACAATAATACCTGTGGAGAGCATATAATGTGAAGTATATTACAACAGTAGTGCTTGGCATCAGTGTTCAAGGTTATGAAAGTTGCCAGGGAGCGATGCTGTGTTGTCACTCCACCACCTCAATATACCTCCACAGTGTGCGACGCTCTGTTGTTGAACTTCACAACACCACACAACTTATGTGTCTTCCTTCACAGTGTGGGATGGTGAGTACTATCACTCTGATGTTGCAATATTTAACATAAGAAAGAGTGTATTAGGATAATAAGATAAGATAAGATTTCGTTCGGATTTTTAACCCCGGAGGGTTAGCCACCCAGGATAACCCAAGAAAGTCAGTGCGTCATCGAGGACTGTCTAACTTATTTCCATTGGGGTCCTTAATCTTGTCCCCCAGGATGCGACCCACTCCAGTCGACTAACACCCAGGTACCTATTTGCTGCTAGGTGAACAGGACAATAGGTGTAAGGAAACGTGTCGGAATTTCCACCCGCCGGGAATCGAACCCGGGCCCTCCGTGTGTGAAGCGGGAGCTTTAGCCACCAGACCACCGGGCCACATACAGACCAGTATCAACAATGGATAATGAGGGAATAATATTATCAGAGATTGATAACAGAATTATTGCATTTAAGCTCCGTAGGTGCAAATTTAAAGGTTTACTAACGTAGTTAATAAATACTGAAATGCGTCATTTCCTGGTGACAAGCGGAGAATCCTTCTTCTGATCGGCTTCAGGCTTTTAGCAGCTACGTTTATCAATGAAAACATCGCATTGATTTTGATTTGAGAAAGTTTTACTTTGTTAGTTTTATTAAGCAAAAAATTTCTTTGCAATAACTGGAGAATGGCTCATCCGATCACCTTCGTATCTTAAACGCTGGTTTAACCTACCTGTAATTGGTAGCGATTCTGGGCTGAGTGAAGGTCATTTTGCCAGAATTGTTTGAAGATAAAAGGTAAGAGAAGGTGTACTATTTTAGGTGACGTAATTAAGTTTGTGAAAGTATTTAGATAGGAGACTTACAGTACGGTACAGATGACACTTGATCACTGTAATATACTGTTTCAGTTAGCCATTAATAGAACTGGTCTTAGGCTAATAGGTTAAAACCTACACCTATATTATAATTTAAGATTCTTACACCGGGAATCATTCAAGAGTCTACATAAATTTTTCAGCTCTGAAACAACAAGCGTTGCACAAAATACATATTTTAAAAGTCTAATTTTTATGCTTGCTCTCTCATGTTGGTATAAAGAATCATAATGGTGACCATGAAGCAGCTTCTGTATATATTATGAAAATTAATTATTTAAATGCATTGTTGTTTTAATTATACATGATTGTCTACTGATAGTGTTTAATACAGAAAAATTAACTGATTTAAACACCAGACTATATTTGTATTAAGAGAAATGATCTTATTAGAACTATAAATTATTGATTTTTGCATTCAGGAAAATATAGAAGGATGAAATGAGACGTAATATTAAATAAATTTGAAGAGAATATAGGCAAACAAATTTCGTTCGTAAGGTTAGGTTTCTATGTTAGGTTTGTCAAAACACTATATTCTTTTTACATTCTCGTTTAAAAATTACATTGAACAATCTGCAGAATCATTTTTGGAGAAGTACGGTTTTAATGTAGTCCGGCCAATTCAGCAAGTTCAGCTTATTCGGCAAGACACCACCATTATTCTGAAACCAACGTGAATGAATTATTAAACAGCGTGATATTTTAATTACCAAGCCTAAATGAGGATATAACGTGTCAAAAGATGAAACAGATGATCATACGAAAATTTAGTACTTAACCCTTAAACGGTCCAAACGTATATATACGTTTTTTCAACTTCTGAAAGTATGTAAAGATATGTAGATCTTCTTTTTTGTTTTACATTTGAAAACTTGTAAAAAAACTTTTATCTACATTATTTTTTTTTGTTATATTTGAAAATATGTTAAAAAAAGTAGATCTACTTTTGTTGCATTACGAATTTGAACGTCGATCTATTTGGACCGTTCAAGGACACGTACAATCTGTGGCAGGCATCAAGGACACATGTACATCACTATTATATTATCAAAAGTTTATCACAAAATTCAACTAATTATCATGTCATATTAAGAATTTAACAATTACTAATTTTGAAATATTTAGATATCTTCTATGTTTGCTGAGAGTAAACAAACTTAATAACGTTATATATGACATGCAAAATTACAAGAGACAAATGCTTTTTAAAATTAATTTCTGTCTCTAACTCTGTAATCTCTTATGTTAATTAACATAAGTTTAGTTAGTTTAATATGTTTATTATGCACCCCATACCCATCCTGTGGGCGGTAGTCAAAAGATTACAGAGGTACATAATGGGTCCAGGGACTGGGCCTCAAAGTTTTGATAACTGAGCAAGTTACAGAGGTAATGAATTCACAAAGGCAAGTTACAAAGGTAATGAACTCACAATTTACAAAGGTAATGAACTCCAGGTAGGTCTAGTCACAATCATGACAAGTTACAAAGGTATTTACAGATTACAGAGGTACACAATGGGTCCAGGGACCGGGCTCCAAAGTTTTGATGGCTGAACTAGGTACAAGGTAATGAACTCACAATTTACAAAGGTAATGAACTCACAATTTACAAAGGTAATGAACTCACAATTTACAAAGGTAATGAACTCCAGGTAGGTCTAGTCACAATCATGACAAGTTACAAAGGTATTTACAGATTACAGAGGTACACAATGGGTCCAGGGACCGGGCTCCAAAGTTTTGATGGCTGAACTAGGTACAAGGTAATGAACTCACAATTTACAAAGGTAATGAACTCACAATTTACAAAGGTAATGAACTCCAGGTAGGTCTAGTCACAATCATGACAAGTTACAAAGGTATTTACAGATTACAGAGGTACACAATGGGTCCAGGGACCGGGCTCCAAAGTTTTGATGGCTGAACTAGGTACAAGGTAATGAACTCACAAGTTACAAAGGTAATGAACTCACAAGTTACCATAAGCAATGAGGGTACATAAATCACGGTAAACTGAGGTTGTTACATACAATTAATATATTACACCTGAGAAAACTTTACTATTTATAATGTCTTCTACTTTCATACAAGAGTATTGAGTGTACCTGAATGTTGTGAAGTTTCTGATCATAATGATTATTAATTAATCTCGCGTCACTATGTTGTTGACTTGATCTAATTTTTTTTTTTTATTCGCCGGTATTCTCCCGGCCCGGGTCTTTTCCAAGTAGTGGTGACCCGGCCTTGGCTCCCTATCTGGGGAGTGTCTCGAGACCTAAGTCTCCCATGGGAGGAGGTACAAGTACCCCCTCATCTTTAGGACCAACTGTCCCTAGGCCTAGCCACATTCCCCGCCCTCACGGGGCTCGTAGGGAGAAGCTAGGCCTCTGGTCTGCCATCTGCCCCGCCCCACAAAGGGGCTCGTGGGGATGGCAGTCTTATGAGCTGCAGGTGGTAGCAAGCTCAGGCTCTTTTTGATCTAATATCACACTTTGTATTGAGCTGCATTTGTTTAACGAATAATTTATGTAACTTATATATGTTTGTAATAATTATTTAATGTATACTATTATCCTTCTGCTGAGAGGAAATATATGTAGTATTTTTTGTCAGCGTGCATTACAATTCTTCCAAAAAGGTCATTTTTTCCATTCCAAAAGTAATTTTGTAATACAACCAGATATTCATAGATATATATATATATATATACGTTTTACTTAAGAATATATAAACTGTCATAGCTATAGATCTTTCTTGATCATAACTTCTCTCTCTCTTCAGAAATGGATCAACTTGTTCATTGTCAATGAAATAATTATATTTTTTTAAATCTTTGCCTGTTTATTGATTCTTCATTTAGTACAATGCTGAAATGTACTACATGTTAAAACAGTAATTAATGTTGTCTGCAGATGAAGTCAACGACGATGTGTGTACTGGTGGTGATGCTAGTGGGAAGCATCATGGGGAAGTTGTCTCCACCTGAGAGGTCCTATAAGATCCTCATGCTCCTCCCAGTCTCCTCCAGGAGTCACAGGAATGTCTTCACTCCTCTCGCTGAGGCTCTGGCCGACCGTGGACATAAAGTAATTCCAAAATGAGTTATGTTTGTATTTCCAAATTAGCCTAAATAAATTCAAGAGTAATTAGATCGAGAACTAATTCATAAGCTCAGTATAACTGAGAAAATATCTTGACAAATATTGCTTGAGTAGTAGTAAACAGTGACGCAAATAAACGTAAGAAAAATTCCCTCAACCTGACCTTGATATACAGCTTAACTAACATTTCCAGATAGTAATGTTGACCAATCAACCGAAGTCGTCCAAACATCCTAACATTGAAGATATTCCTCACGACCTCCCATACTTCAGGTTGGATAGTATTAACGTTTTCGACAACAGGAAGAACCAGAGTAGACCCATGCAAATCTTAGAGACTGTTCTACCAGCTGTTGCTAGGGAGTTGTACAAAGTCCCTGTGGTGAAGGACCTTTATAAAAAAAGGAAGGAATTTGATGTTATGGTGATTGATCAACTGTTCAACGAAGTAGGTACTAGTGGGTTAATGTTAGTTATAGGAGCAGAGCATCACTCAAGCGAATTTAAAGAGTGTGTATGTGTGAACATCTTATCGAAATGAGCCTTCTGAGTGCATGTGTTAAATTAGACAATAGATGTTTAATTAAATCCAAGGAAAGGATGGGGATTGAACCCATGGCAAGAGTTCTAAAACTCACAGGGCAGGTCACTAACCACTCAGACAAATAATTCTAAAGAGACAATCCCTGAATTTTCTGAATATGCTCTAACACCGCTAAGATTCTAATTTTGTAATCCACCAAACTAGTTGCAATCACCCTGTTGTAATCAATCATATGCATCTTTATACCGCTGTACCTAGATTGTTTCCAACAACAAGATGTAACTCTGCCCTTTTTTTTGGGCTATTCTAGGTTATCCACACATGCGCTGCCATGTATGATACGTGTATCATACAATATCATATAATAACTAGGCATGCATGACATGTATCATACATGCCATGTATGTCTAATTATTATATCGTAAAGAATAATCGGAAAATTAGAGATCCATAAATAATACAGGCATAATAATCAATGCTGAGAACTATAGTAGGCAGTACTTAAGAATATTTGCTGAGATCTTCCCGAGTATTTCATGGAACATTCTAGAAGATCCCAGGATGTGCAGTGTTGTAAGCAGACAAATGAGCTCATAAATTTCCTCTCTTTTATTAATTAGAAGGTTACACATAACAGTAACATTTTATATGTGTACGCTGAGGTCATTGGTCACCTGCGGTCATACCTGCCTAAGCTCTTGGGAGTTAGCGTGGGCTGTTACCAAGCACCATGGCTTGTTGTAGTGTTTTAGAATCTCAGGTTCAAGTGTAGAAGAATGAGATTCTACTTCTTCAGGAGGAAAATAGGAGGCTGAAGCTTCGCATAGATGAATTTGGGAGCGAGTGTGAGAAGGATTTACCTGGTAAGGAGGAAATGGTCACCAGCAGTGATAGTGGCAGCCACTTTAAGTGGCAAGTGGCTCACAGTTCAGGAAGAAGGAAGATGAGGAGAGTTAATAGAGATGTGAAGGTAGGAAATCGATTCTCTGTTCTCCAAGAAGAGTGTGCTTCAGTGATTAGTGAGGTTGAAGGTACCACTGATTCCCCTGCTAATCAAGGTAAGAATATTTTCATAGTAGGCGATTCTCAGGTAAGATATATATATATATATAACAGAGCCAGAAAGGTCAGACAGAGAGTGTGCCTTCCTGGAGCTGGTGTTGGTGACATAGTCAACAGGTTGGATAATATTATGGCAGGTAATGGGAACAAGCCCATTATCTGTCTTAGTGCTGGGGGTAATGACTTTGGGAAAGGCAGGAGAGAGGAGCTGCTGGATAAGTATAGGTCAGCCATAGAAATAGGTCTAACTAAGGGATCCCAGCCATATGTAGCATCTTGCCTAGGAAGGGAGTGGGCAATGAATGGATGTCTAGGGCAATTGGTATAAATTGCTGGCTAGACAGGTACTGCAAGGAACTTGCAATCCCATTCATTGATAACTGGGACCTATTCTTTGGCAAACGTGATATTTATGCAAGGGATGGGGTTCATCTCTCTGGGGATGGAGTGGTTGCATTAGCCAATTCAATTGAGAGGGTGATTGATGACTTGTCTAGGAATTTAAACTGATAGATTATAGAGGTATGGGTGTTTGTGGGAAACAATCAGGCTGCAGCATTAGGGTTAAAAACAGCCGTTATTACCGGGATACCACAGGGATATGTTTAAAAGACAATATTCAAAATAAAGTTGCTAGTAATGGCAAATCAATTGATCAACAAACAAAGAAAGATAGTAGAGGGCAACGAGTGACTAGCTCCCTAAAGGTTTACTATACAAATAGTAGGAGTCTAAGAAATAAGATAGATGAGCTTAGATTACTTGCAAGTACAGGTAATATAGATTTTTTTTTTTATCACACTGGCCGATTCCCACCAAGGCAGGGTGGCCCGAAAAAGAAAAACTTTCACCATCATTCACTCCACCACTGTCTTGCCAGAAGGGTGCTTTACACTACAGTTTTTAAACTGCAACATTAACACCCCTCCTTCAGAGTGCAGGCACTGTACTTCCCATCTCCAGGACTCAAGTCCGGCCTGCCGGTTTCCTTGAACCCCTTCATAAATGTTACTTTGCTCACACTCCAACAGCACGTCAAGTATTAAAAACCATTTGTCTCCATTCACTCCTATCAAACACGCTCATGCATGCCTGCTGGAAGTCCAAGCCCCTCGCACACAAAAACCCCCTTTACCCCCACCCTCCAACCTTTCCTAGGCCGACCCCTACCCCGCCTTCCGTCCACTACAGACTGATACACTCTTGAAGTCACTCTGTTTCGCTCCATTCTCTCTACATGTCCGAACCACCTCAACAACCCTTCCTCAGCCCTCTGGACAACAGTTTTGGTAATCCCGCACCTCCTCCTAATTTCCAAACTACGAATTCTCTGCATTATATTCACAACACATATTGCCCTCAGACATGACATCTCCACTGCCTCCAGCCTTCTCCTCGCTGCAACATTCATCACCCATGCTTCACACCCATACAAGAGCGTTGGTAAAACTATACTCTCATACATTCCTTTCTTTGCCTCCAAGGACAAAGTTCTTTGTCTCCACAGACTCCTAAGTGCACCACTCACCCGTTTCCCCTCATCAATTCTATGATTCACCTCATCTTACACAGACCCATCCGCTGACACGTCCACTCCCAAATATCTGAATACATTCACTTCCTCCATACTCTCTCTCTCCAATCTGATACCCAATCTTTCATTACCTAATCTTTTTGTTATCCTCATTACCTTACTCTTTCCTGTATTCACTTTTAATTTTCTTCTTTTGCACACCCTACCAAATTCATCCACCAATCTCTGCAGCTTCTCTTCAGAATCTCCCAAGAGCACAGTGTCATCAGCAAAGAGCAACTGTGACAACTCCCACTTTATGTGTGATTCTTTATCTTTTAACTCCACGCCTCTTGCCAAGACCCTCGCATTTACTTCTCTTACAACCCCATCTATAAATATATTAAACAACCACGGTGACATCACACATCCTTGTCTAAGGCCTACTTTTACTGGGAAAAAATTTCCCTCTTTCCTACATACTCTAACTTGAGCGTCACTATCCTCGTAAAAACTCTTCACTGCTTTCAGTAACCTACCTCCTACACCATACACTTGCAACATCTGCCACATTGCCCCCCTATCCACCCTGTCATACGCCTTTTCCAAATCCATAAATGCCACAAAAACCTCTTTAGCCTTATCTAAATACTTTTTCACTTATATGTTTCAACTGTAAACACCTGGTCCACACACCCCCTAACCTTTCCTAAAGCCTCCTTGTTCATCTGCTATCCTATTTTCCGTCTTACTCTTAATTCTTTCAACTATAACTCTAACCATACACTTTACCAGGTATACTCAACAGACTTATCCCCCTATAATTTTTGCACTCTCTTTATCCCCTTTGCCTTTATACAAAGGAACTATGCATGCTCTCTGCCAATCCCTAGGTACCTTACCCCTCTTCCATACATTTATTAAATAATTGCACCAACCACTCCAAAACTATATCCCCACCTGCTTTTAAACTTTCTATCTTTATCCCATCAATCCCAGCTGCCTTACCCCCTTTCATTTACCTACTACCTCACGAACTTCCCCACACTCACAACTGGCTCTTCCTCACTCCTACAAGATGTTATTCCTCCTTGCCCTATACACGAAATCACAGCTTCCCTATCTTCATCAACATTTAACAATTCCTCAAAATATTCCCTCCATCTTCCCAATACCTCTAACTCTCCATTTAATAATCTCTCCTCTAATATTTTTAACTGACAAATCCATTTGTTTCTCTAGCTTTCTTAACTTGTTAATCTCACTCCAAAACTTTTTCTTATTTTCAACAAAATTTGTTGATAACATCTCACCCACTCTCTCATTTGCTCTCTTTTTACATTGCTTCACCACTCTCTTAACCTCTCTTTTTTTCTCCATATACTCTTCCCTCCTTGCATCACTTCCTTTGTAAAAACTTCTCATATGCTAACTTTTTCTCCCTTACTACTCTCTTTACATCATCATTCCACCAATCGCTCCTCTTCCCTCCTGCACCCACTTTCCTGTAACCACAAACTTCTGCATGAACACTCTAACACTACATTTTTAAACCTACCCCATACCTCTTCAGACCCCATTGCCTATGCTCTCATTAGCCCATCTATCCTCCAATAGCTGTTTATATCTTACCCAACTGCCTCCTCTTTTAGTTTATAAACCTTCACCACTCTCATTCCCTGATGCTTCTATTCTCCTTGTATCCCATCTACCTTTTACTCTCAGTGTAGCTACAACTAGAAAGTGATCTGATATATCTGTAGCCCCTCTATAAACATGTACATCCTGAAGTCTACTCAACAGTTTTTTATCTACCAATACATAATCCAACAAACTACTGCCCTTTTTCGCCCTACATCATATCTTGTATACTTATTTATCCTCTTTTTTTTTAAAATATGAAATTCCCTATAACAAAAACCCTTTTTCCTTTACAAATTTTCAATAAAAAAGGGTTTCCCATTATCATTTACACCTGGCACCCCAAACTTACCCCCCCAAAACCCCTCCCCTAAAAGTTTCTCCAACTTTAGCTTTAAAGGTCCCCTCCCCAACAATTACCTCTCATTTGGGTTTTCAAAGGCTCCTATCTTTCCCATTTTAACATCTCCCAAAATCTCTCTTTTCCCTTTTCTTCCTCTTTTCTCCAGGTGCATACACGTTTTATTGACCCACTTTCGCATCCAACCTTTTACTTTAACCCACAAAATTTTCTTGAATTTAAAACTTTCATATCTCTTTTCTCCTTCCAAAAACTGATCGTTTAACATTATTTTGCTACCCCTTCCTTTCTCTAATTTCTCTCAGATACCCCAAAATTTAATCTCAT